GCTGGCCACAGGCTCCTGTGAACCCTGGAGTGCACTCCCCTCCCAGCAACTCACAACTGCAGCCACAGGCCCTGCACAATTTGGCAACTGGATCCTTCAGTGAGTCTCGGAGTGCGCCCCGCCTGCCAAGCCTGCCGCTTCGGCCATAGGCCCCATGCAACTCGGCGCCTGAACCCTTTGGTGAGAGCAAAAATGCGGAGACAAAGAAACAACCGCCAAAGGAAAGAAAAGGGGCGGGGGGGATTGCCAAAAAAGTAACTAAATGAAACAGAGGCTGCAATATGTCAGAAAAAAATTCAGAGTAAGGATCATACAGTTCCTAAGCTGGCTAGATGAGAAAATCAACAACTTATGTAAGAATGGAGAGGAAATCAAGAATGATATAGCTACAATAAAAAACACAATGGGCCCTAACCGGTTTGGCTCAGTGGATAAAGAGTTGGCCTGCGGACTCAAGGGTCCCAGGTTCGATTCTGGTCAAGGGCATGTACCTTGGTTGTGGGCACATATCCTGTAGGGAGTATGCAGGAGGCAGCTGATCGATGTTTCTCTCTCATCAATGTTTCTAGCTCTCTATCCCTCTCCCTTCCTCTCTGTAAAAAATCAATAAATAATAATAAAAATATAAATAATAAAAATATAAAATATATTTAAAAAAAACACAATGGAAGGTTTCAACAGTATATTAGAAGAAGAGGAGGACTGAATTAGTGAGTTAGAATACAGAGCAGAAAACACCAATCTGAACAGCAATTGGAGAAAAAATTAGAAAGCAGAAGGAGAGCCTAATGGAGCTTTGGGACAATATGAAATGAAGAACATATGAATAATAGGGGTGCGAGAAGGACAAGAAGAGGAGCAAGGATTAGAAAACCTATTTGAAGTACTGACAGAAGAAAACTTCCCTGATTTGGGGAAGAAAAAAAGTCACATAAGCACAGAGAGTCCCAAACAAGATGAACCCAAAAAGACCCACACCAAGACATGTCATAATTACAATGGCAAAC